TAAGACATTGCATGATATGGTGAAAATTAAACACTATTGATTACATAGATGATATCAATTAATAATCAGTAATAAAAGACGATATCATCATCAATTCTCTTTAGATAATTTTTCTTTACTTCGAGATTATATAATACTTATACTTTCGTTTAACCGTCACACCTATGATATTCAAGTTACCAGTAGCAAAAAAAAAGTTTTCACATATAAAGACAATCATGCTTCATCTGAGAAATGAAACGTCACAATCGAGAATTTGACTCGAACAAATCTCGTCCAAAATCGTGTATACATTTCGTAGCTAAATCTTTGCAAATACACTATTTTGTAGTGTTTAGACATAAGATTACGTTAATAGATCTCGTGTGTTTAGTCTAGATTCAAATATATTTCCCAAAAAAATGAACAAAAATATGATTCTGAGCATGAATTTTATTATTTTCTAGTATATTAGATGAATATGTGTGTTGATACACAAATTTTATTGTGTTTTCTGTATGAATTCATAAAAGAGAGATCAATTGAAAAACATATTTAAGCGTAATGTAGTTGAACTATTAAAAATTGTTCTTAGATGTAGAAAACGTAACCTATCAAAGAAACAACCAAAATATGTTTCTTTAACATGTTAATTTCGATCCATTGCTTTAACGAAACCCTAATTTGGGCCCATGTTTACAAGAATCCCTTAAATTCGATCCATTGCTTTAACGAAACCCTAATTTGGGCCCATGTTTGCAGGAAATCAGAGAAACAGAGCCGAAAATATCCTTTAGCATCTGAATTTGGATCTTTTTCTTTAACGAAACCATAACTAAACCCTAATTTCGGTCGATTGTTTTTACGAAACCCTAACCGCAATTCGCAATTCCGAGATTCTCAATTTCAGCAGAATAGAATCGGTGGAAAAGAATCGCTTACGTGATCAAAGGGATCCTGAGGAAGATCCATGGTTTTGCTTCGCTTTGGTGTGAGAAAAAAAAAAGAGAGAGAGATAATTTTATGCTTCAATTGCTAATATATGTTATATATTTTTGAATTTAGACACACCAAAAATGACATTTTTGCAATTACCCCTATTATATAAGCATGAGAGCAAAACTTCCCAAAGCTATAGATTGGGACATGTGAATCGAAGGAGGAATAGTGTTGCAGTAAGCAGTGGCGGACCCAATAAGGGCTATGCTAGGTCACCTGACCTAGATAAAGTTCATAAATAATAAATAATACATACGAAACAAAAAAGATTTGGTGGAACAATTGGTAAAGTTCATATTAGATGAATATGTGTGTTGATACGCAATTTTTATTGTGTCTTCTGTATGAATTCATAAAAGAGAGATCAATTGAAAAACATATTTAAGCATAGTGTAGTTGAACTATTAAAAAATGTTCTTAGATGTAGAAAACGTAACCTATCCCGGTTTAATTGATTTTGATTATTTTTTCATTATGTTGTTTTAGTTTATTCTCTTACGATTTGGTCATTTGTGATTAGAATTTTAACGATATATATATATATTACTTATGATTTTTTACTTGAAAACTAATTACACATATCGGTAAAACCTACAAATGCGTGATAATTAAACAAATGTTGCTGTTTACTTTTAAGATACGTATGTCCATATATGAAACTGGAAATAAATGTGTTTGGTGCTTAATTTATTTTGTAGTATTCGAGTTTTAAATTTTAGTTTTAGAATAACAACATTTAAAATTAGGTAAACATAAAGAGTTTAGAGTAAAATATGGTCAAGTAAATTAGGATAAATAAAAACGTTTTATTGGGTTGAATAAGCGAATGAGTTATTATATCAAAAACATATATGGCTTTAAAAACTGTTAATAGTGAATCTCAACTAAAAATACATTAAACTGGCACAAGTAGAAAGTGTAAATATTTCTTGTCTTTGCTTCAAACGAATCTTAGAAAGATATCTCCATTGCTCAGTATAACAAGCAAAAAAAGGGTCAATAGCTTGTCTCTTTTAGTGATATGAATGATTCAGTTTTCTCCGCCTATCAGGAGACTTGCTCATCCGAAACTTTAACCAGGTACGATGAGATTCTTCTTGTTGGCTTCTCTTACTATGATCTTTCCTAATAAGTTTGGAAAAACTTTCAAATACAAGCATACCAAATAGCTTGTGATGATTACTCAAGAACTGTACTTTTTGCTGTAAGATTTTAGTGTTTTTGCAATTGTAGAGACATGGTTGGACGAAGCTACAGCTTAGATATGCGTAGAGTTGAGTCCACGGATCTTAGAATAGCTCTTTTTGAGATGAAGGAAGATGTGCAGAGACTCGAGGAAGAGTTGCAACTGTCACGTCAGCCAGTGAAACCATGTCTTTGATACAAAGGCTTCAAGGAGAGAAGGCAATGCTTGCTATGGAAGCTAGCCAGTACAAGAGAATGGCCGAGGAGAAAATGTCGCACGCTGAGTTGTCCCTGGAGCTCTTAGGGGATCTGAATTACCAACGCCGTCTCCAGAACCGATCGATACAGATCTTTTGGTTCCAGTGGAGTTATTGAGCAGAGCTTGGATTCATCAAGAAGACATCAGGAGAAGATCAAGAAGCTCGATGAGCAGTTGAAAGAGCTTATGGATTTTAGAGATGATATATACAAGAATTTGAAACAGGAGACATATGTGTCTGAAAGTAAGAATCCAGAAAAGGGTGAAGCTTTTGCTGCAAGCTCGTCGAACATTCAAGATATCGTTGAAAAGGAGAGAGCAGAGGGTTTGTTGGTGAAAAAGATTTCTAAGAAACCATCTAAACGGAAAAGAGACAGAACTGTTAAAAGAGATGATGCAAGTGGAAGTTGTTCTGCAAATGATGCAGAGTATCAAGCCGAGTTGCAGCGGCT